CCCCCCCTTACCCCCCCTTTCTTCCCACCCCCTCCCCCCTTTTTCCCCCTTGCCACCCCCCCCCCCCCCCACCCACCCACCCACCGCCCCGCAGCCCGACCTGCTGTTCCAGCTGCTGTCCATGCTGTCGCCGAGGGCGCTGCAGCGGGCGGGCGTCCCCGTCTACTCGGCCATCCAGGCGGCGGGGGAGTTTGTGGTCACCTTCCCAAACGCCTACCACGGAGGCTTCAGGTGGGGCGCTGCGCCTGTGTGCCTGTGTCATGTGTGCTGTTTGCGGGCTGGGGTGGGAAGTAGGGTGGCGTGGAGCGGGTGTGCGTTGCATGGCTGTGAGGGCTGCTTGCGGGCGTCTGTGCGCCCTCCCGCCCTACCGTGCCCACACCGGCACACACATCACACCACGCCACGCCGAACCATGCCGCCTGTGCCTCCCCTGTGCCGCAGCCTGGGCGTGAACCTTGGAGAGGCTGTGAACTTCGCGCCGCCCGACTGGCTGCGCTTTGGCGCCGCAGCGCTGGGCCGCCTGCGCCACTTCCGCAAGCCCTGCGTGGTGTCGCAGGAGGAGATGCTGCTGCGGGTGGCGGCCCAGCAGGCGGGGCCGTCGGTGGCTGCCATGCTGGGCAGTGGCGGCGCCGCGCTGGCTGCCAGCCCCGCCAGCCCCACGGGCGCCTCCCCGCTCGTCTGCTACCACCTCGCCCGTGAGCTGCGGCGGGTGGTGGAGGAGGAATGGACCCTGCGCGCCAAGCTGTGGTCGGAAGGTGGGCAGGCTGTGGTTGGGAGATCCGCCAGCAGCAGCATGCTGCCAGGCGCTTACCTTATCACCCGCCTGTGCGTACCCAGGGCCAGCCTAGGCGGCAGGCAGGGGCAGCACCTGAGGTTAGGGCAGACGGCTGGTACCGTGCTGCCCGGCCAACAACTGCCGAGGCAGCGCGCAGCAACCTCCGCCTGCGCTGCCGCACGTCTGCTGCGCAGGCCTGCGCCGCTCGCGGCGCGTGCGGCTGGCGGTGGGCTTCCTGGAAGGTGACAGCGACGACGCCGAGTGCGCCATCTGTCACCTGTACATGCACAGCAGCGCAGGCAAGGCCGCTCGCTGCTGCGGCCTGCTGTACTCACACCATTTGGCAGCTGGGGCAGCTGTGGCAGCTGGCCGCCGCCGTCGGCCGCCCTGCCTGTTTCGCCGTGACCTGCTGTGTCCCCGGTCTTTGGTCTTTCTTCTCGCTGCTCATGGCGTTTCCCACCTGCTGCCTGCAGTGGAGTGCGACTGCTGCCTGGGCCGCCGCGTGTGCCTACACCACGCGCACCACCTGTGCGGGTGCCACATGGGCGCGCGGCGGCTGCTGTACCGCCATAGCCTCAGCCAGCTGCAGGCAGTACAGGAAGCCGTGGAGGCACGCGTGCCCGCCGAGGCGGCCGCGGAGCTAGAGGCGGTGGAGGCGGCGGCGGCAGCTCGCGCCGTGGCGGCAGCTGCCAGCGTTGCTGCACCGGTGGAAGAGGCTGCTGCAGATGTTAAGCAGGAGCCCCAGGAGCAGCTGGAAGGGCCCCAGCAGGCAGAGCAGCCGGCGGAGCAGCCAGCAGAGCAGCAGCAGCAGCAGCAGCAGCAGCAGGCGGAGCTGGCGCCTGCAGGAGTTGAAGTGAAGGCAGAGCAGGGGCAGGAGCCTGCAACGGCGGCAGGCGGTGGGGCCGACGCCATGGATCTGGATGGCCCAGCGACTGCCACCCAGCAGCCCGAGCAGCCTCAGCAGGCTGAGCCCCAGCCTGAGCAGAAACCACAGGCGGATGGCGAGCAGCAGCAGGCTGGTGAGCAGCAGCCAGATGCCGGCGCCGCACCCGCGGCGGGCGGGGAGCAGGCGCAGGGCGCAGCAGGCCAGCAGGCACTGCCGCACGTCAAGGCAAACGTGTCGCAGCAGGAGGGTCAGCTTTGCAGCCGCTGCCGCCGCCCGCCCGGCATTGTTGCATGTCCCAATATTGCCGCATCAGCCAGCCACATCCTCCTGCCTGCACGCCACTCCCAGTGCACCCCTACCCACTTCGCCCCATCCCCTGCGCATGCCGCACCCGTCCACCCTCGTCCACCTGCCACCTGCCACCCCGCCGCCTCCTGCCTCCAGGCCCCGTGCGCCCCTTTGTGTCTGTTGACCTCTGCCCCTGGGACCGAGCGGAGCTGCCTGAGTGGCGGGAGGCCCTGCGGGCCGCCTGCCAGCAGTGGCGCCAGGATGCGGGGGAGGCGCTGGAGCAGGGCGGGGCGCGGGCGGAGGTGCTGGAGGAGCTGGCCGAGGAGTGTGAGCAGTACCTGTGGGGAGGTGAGCACAGCTGCCTGTGTCCCTTTCCTGTGTGCCTACCTTGTCTGGTTTGGGTTGTGAATGTGTGTGAATGTGTTGTGTGTTGTGTGTTGTGTGTTGTGTGTTGTGTGGGTGTGTGTTTGGTAGTGTGGGTGTGGGCCGGGTGCGTGGCAGGGCCTGAGGTTTGGGGGCCTGCTGGCAGCTGGCAGCTGTCCTGCTCCTGCCGACCCCCGCCTGCCTGCCTGCCTGCCTGCCACATGCCCACCCCCCGCCTGCCTGCATCAGACGTGTCGGAGGAGGTTGCTGAGCTGGCGGGGCGTGTCCAGGTGGCTGCCGCCTACATGGCACGCATCGGCGCCGCGCTGCGCGGCAAGCAGGGGCAGGAGGAGGTGGAGGCCATTGTCGCGGTGGTGGGTGGATGCTGGTATTTTATAGTATTCATAATATAACCTATGGTGGTGTGGTTGCGACACAGCGGCATGGCATTGGATGCGTCCCTGGTCGCTCGCTGACGGTTGGGCGGCAGCAGCCCCCCGCTCGGCGCTGTGGTGCGCTCCTGCCCTCCTGCCCTCCTCACCGCTCCGCCCCTGCCGCTGCTCGTGTTCGTGGCCCCTCCTGGCCTGCGCCGCAGGACCCCAAGCCTGTTCCGGACCCTCCGGGGCTGCAGAAGCTGGTGGAGGGGCTGGCTGCTGCCCGGGACTGGCTGGAGCGGGCGCAGCCCTTCCTGGATGAGGGGCGCAGCTGCGAGCTCAAAGCGCTGGAGTCGTTTGCCGGCGAGGCCAACCGGCTGCTGGGTGGGTGGGCGGGTGGGCGGGTGGAAACTTGTAAACGTTCCCCATGTTGGTGGCTTTGCATCGTGCTTGCTAGTGCGTTTGCCGCCTTTCAGGGCCCACCCCCCATCCCCCTGCCCGAGTCCTCGATCCCCGGCTGTCCACCGCTGCCTCTC